AAAACTAACAAGTAGCCATCTCGCTAAATCACAGGGAGATATTTGCATTATTTTTAAGATCATCAGAATTTGCGTAGTTCTGACTTTGAATCTTTCCAGGATCAACTACAAGTTGGAAAAAAATTAGACATGTTAATTAAGGAACTAGGATTGCTATAATGACAAAAGACGAGGGTCTTTTCAGTTTTTAAAAATTTCTTGAATGCAAGGAATTCTTTTGCTAACAAAGACTGTTTCTTCTCCTGTTTGAGTTTCACACTAGCAGTAGTAGCCCACAAGTCTAAAATTTGAGGGGTTTTTATTTTTTGGTGGTTTTATGGTTCATGTAAGATTTTTAAGAAATGGAGGGATCTTCATTAGGATAAAATGGTCTTAATTTCTGGGAGAATTTCCTGGTAATGAGCTGAAGCCAAATTCAAATGTCAAAAATAGAAGAGAACTTTATTTGAATTTCTAGCAAAGAGTTTGCAGTAGTTTAAATATTACTTGCTTGAAAGTATTATTTGTTTTCTAAGATCACTTTTATCTGTAAATGTGACAGTCTGCTTGAAGCTAATAGTTTCAGTGTTTGAGAAGCAACAGTGTGAGTTAATGGTTTCAAATTCCTGGCATGCGCTGATGGGAAAAAAGAATCATAATCACAAAGTGTTATTATTTTTCATGCAAATTATTTTAAATGATTTTAAGATGCAGTAGTTCATATATGTTGATTAAAGTTCACCTTATGGGAAAATGCTGTGTCAACTAGACATTGTATAGATTATTAAATACTCAAAGGAATTGCCAAGAGATACCAAGAAAGCAATTTTCTGAAGTCTAATAAAAGAAGTGTTGCTTCTCACCTGTCTGAGAGAGTGTTTTCACACTGCCTTGGGATAGAGAATCTCAAAAATATCTCCGTAGGTTTAGGAGACCAATGTTGGGAGAGATTTTCTTTTCCCACCAAAGTTTCAGAATCAGCTAAGTCTGTGTTGCAGTATTTAAGAACTGCTGGTCATTTTTAACATCTCAAACATATAGAGTGATAAAGTTAACATTACTACTTATTGAAATATTTATATAGTTCTATTGTAAGAGCAGTAAATATAATCATACACAACGTCTTCACTGTAAGTAGCCCTGTGGAGAACCCTGATGTTCTTTTAACCAAAAGAGAAACAGAGGTACTTTGAGCCTGAGCTCATGCTTTTAATAACTAACCTACTTGCTCAGGTTTTTTTTATCTAAACCCTGATGCAAACTCCCAAACACATATTCATTTAACATAGATCACAGTCATGTTTTGTCTTTTCTTTGAGAGTCAAAAATTTGTTGACGGTATATTTTATATACTGGTTCCATCGTGGAACAAACGTAGTGCAGATGGCTACAAATATCAGCAAAGTGTTTGGGAAGGGTGTGGCTGATAGACACAGAGCATGGTGGTGGTTTGAGAAGTTCCGTGCTGATGATTTGAATCTTACAAATAAAAATTTATCTCACTTAGCTGAAGCTTTATGCCCCGTTGATCTGTAAGTCCCCATTGTCCCTTCCGCTCGCCCCTGGCAGCCCCTATTCCACTCTTCCAGTCTGTGGATTTGACTATTTTAGATGTCTCATTGAAGCACAGTCACGCAGTCTTTGTCTCTTTGTGACTGGTTTATTCCACTCAGCACAGTATCCTCAAGGTATTTTGTAGAATTTTCTTCTTTGAAAGTACTGGATTGTATGTATTTTTCATATTTTCCTTATTCGTTCATCAACTGATTGACATCTAGGTCATTTCCGCATCTTGCCTGCTGTGAATAGTGCTGCAGTGAACGTGGGGTGGTAATATCTCTTCAAGATCCTGGTTTCAAGTCTTTGAGATGAATACTGAGAAGTGGGATTGCTGGATTAGATGGTTGTTCTGTTTCTAATGTTTTCAGGAACCTCTATACTGGTTTCTAAAACCGTTGCACCAATGTATATTCCCACCAAAACGTACAAGAGTTCCAATTTCTCCACACCTCCACCAACATCTTTATTTTTTTTTTAATAAC